GCCGCGGGCTGACGAGGCCCTGGCGGGCCCGGCGCCGCCTCAGCCCGGCGGCAGCTTCCCCTGGGCTGTCAGCGGACGGCGGGCAGGGGCCCGGGCCTGGCCGAACCCCTGTTGCTGGTGGCGGCGGCGGGTCCGGCCCAGCGGCTGAGGCCCGTGTTGGAGCTGAGGGCTGTGGGCCAGGGCGGCCGGCTCGCTCCTGGCCCTGCTGGGCGGCGCTGCAAGAAGGCCCTTGGCGACCTGGGTCAGCCCCAGCTGGGAGCTGTGGGAGTCAAAGGGCACAGGCGTGTGGGTCGGAGCCGGCTACGGAGATTCACGGGGTTAGAAGCCCAGCTGCTATTAAAAAGTTCCCGAAAAGCGTAAAGGGAATGTGACACCTGTGTGTTTTGAGGCAGAAATCGTAGAAGCGTGATGAAGGCACCCAGATCTCACCTCTTGGAGGTCAACCTGAGTCCTGCCGCTGGTGACATGGATAAGATGCTGTGTGGAGTCTGGGGTTCCTCAATACAAGGAGGAGATCAAAATGTTAGAGTGTGTCCAGAGGGCGGCCAAGATGGTGAAGGGTCTTGAGGGCAAGGCTTCTGAGGAGTGGCTGAGGCCATTGGGCTTGTTCAGCTTGGAGGAGAGAAGGCTGAGGTGTGCCCTCGTGTCAGTCTGCACCTTCCTCAAGACAGGCAGCAGAGGGGGAGCTGCTGATATCTCTCTGGTGACCAGTGATGGGACACAAGGAAATGGAATGATGCTCCATCAAGTTGGATGTTAGGAAAAGGCTCTTCACTGAGAGGGTGGTTGGTCACTGGAACAGGTTCCCAAGGGAAGTGGTCGCAACACCAAGCCTGTTGGAGTTCAAGGAGTGTCTAGGCAACACTATTAGTCATATGTTTTACTCTTAGGCCATCCTGCAAGGAGCAGGGGGTTGGATTCGATGATCCTTATGGGTCCAACTCAATAAGTTCTATAATTCTGTGATGAAGATAATAGGAAGAACCCAGTGTACAAGCAGAACGTTAAGTGCTATGTTCATGCACTTCAGTTTACTCAGTCTGTCATCAGAAAGCCAACGCTCCTTCAGATTATTAGTCTTTGCCAGGTAAACAGACTGTAAAACATTCTCTCAACTTTTTATCTAGCTTTGATAACTTCATGGTGTGCTTCCTAGTTTTAATACTTTTTAGAACCCTAGCTACTCTTGCAGTGTCTGTAAAATTGAATCCAGTCCTGAAATAACTTACTGCCTTCTAATGAGCTGTCCTCCTAAGTGGTTCTAGAAAATGAAGGAAAAGCAATGTCTTAATAGCTAATAATGATATCTTACAGGTTTTTTCCAGTCCTATGCAGTGGAAGTAGATGTAAAGGATGCCTCTAATGCTACGTGCCTGTATGCAGAATGGATGATGAGATTCTTGATAAAATATGAAACAAACAGTAGTGATTATGTAAGTATTTGGAGTTAACTTTTGTTGATAACTCTATTTTGTTCTGGGTAGGAGCTTAAGTACACTCTTTTACCTAGGGTGTTTGCATTTTTTACCGCTTCCTTTTTTCACTATAAGTGTATTTCTAAATATTCATTTTAAAACATAGCATATATTCTCAATTAATAATGCAAATCACTGAAAGTGCCCTATTGCACGTACTTAAGTGGCGTACTGTTCAAACTGGGTGGTTTTTGGTGTCAGGATAGTAATATTCTTAGCCCAAATAGTAAGCATAAATTGCAGCTCAGTACAGTCAAGATTTACAGCCAAATTAGATTTGTACTTCTGTACTCGAATCTGATATGGCTCCTTTCAAAGTCAGATGTCAGGGAGCCTTTTTCATAATTTTGTAGAATAACCTAAAATAATCTTGCTAATTTTGTTCAAGGTTCTATCTGACTCCAGCAGGTTTATAACGTTGTCATGGGGAAGAACTGCTATCTGTGAAAACATTTTTAAATTGCCCTTTTTTCTAGAAAAATGCTACCTTGAATTTGTCATCCGGCGTGACACACAATGGAAGCGTCTGTGGCAATGACACACAAGCTGCAGTTCTGGCTGTACAGTTTGGAGAAGGTCACTCTTGGAGCATTAACTTTACAAAAACCAATGAAACTTACCAGGCGGACTTTGTCACGTTTACTTACAACACCAATGATACTGCTGTGTTTCCTGATGCTAAAAAAAAAGGTAATGTTCAGTGCAGAATCCTACTTACAAAAAGAACTCGGACTCAGGTGTCAGGTCTCATGTACCTGATCTTGGTTGGTTTTTTCAAAGTTAGACGAGCTAATAATGTAACTAATGACTTCTATGCCATATGCTGCCTAACTGTTGTTCATTGTACTTACTACTGTATAAGAATGTAGAGTGGTGAGAATCCCTGAATGTAGGATTCCCTTTAAGTGGAATGAGAGGGGAAGATTAACTGAAGAGCCTCGATCAGTGAGGTGCTGCTAATAGACAACAGGCATATGGAAGATTCATTTTAGTATGCACTACTTGGCTTTCCACCTAGCAAAGCACTACACCGTTAGGCTTCCTGTGTACTAATACCTATTAATAATAGGATTGGGTTTTTTTCCCTTAAAGAAAAACTTAAGTAAAAAAGTTCATCTTTCTAATGGCTTGTCTAATTCTGGAAGCTTGGTTACTTCTCTGCACTACTTAGCACTCCGGGTCAGGACACACAGGTAAAATATTCAAGAGAGATTGGGATTGTTAAACTTTAATTATCTCTTACTTTGTCTTCTGGTATTGTATAAAGCATAACACTACCTATGAATGGTCTTGTAGTTTGTAAGGTATTAAAATATTTGTGCTTATTTGTAGGACCAGTTACTATTGTTGTAAGGGTTACTATGCATCCAGTGCAAGTGAATAACGTCTTCGTGTGTCATAATACTGACTTCCTTGAAGCAGAAAATGTAACACAGATTTTCTGGAATGTTACTGTGCAGCCTTTTGTTCAGAATGGCACAATCAGTAAAAAAGGTGAGCATTTCAATTTGTGAATGAGCTTTTTTGTGTTGCGCCTTAGTGCAGGGAGCAAAGTCCCACAATGAAAAATCCACCTAAAATGTGCTATGTTGAATAACATTCGTGTAAATATCCTTTAGTACGTCTTTCCTTGTTCCTGGAAAAATAGATTAGTAGAACAGATTTAGTAGTGTATAGTAATGTAGATTGTTCCTGTGCCAAGGTGGTATTTTAATAAAGTGTGTATTCCAGTAACAGGGGTATTAAAAGTAAGCATTTCAAAACTACTGTTGCTGACTAGATCATTTGAGTTTTGAGGTTTTTAGCTGACTGCCTTCCATTTTCAGTGCTAGCCTCTACTTTTTCATTTAAATAGTCCAGAGCCTGTTGTCTCATCTCACACCTCAACTACTCGAGATGAGCACATCATCCTGCTACATATAGCTTCATAGGGTTGATGACTTTATCTATAGCAAATACATATCACACTTTTATAACCACTTAGCTATCTTTGGCTGTATGTTTCACTTCTGTGTGTCAGAGATAAGTATTACTGCATATGCTTCATGGATTTTAAACTGCAGGCATTACAGAATTTCAGAGAATAAATGGTAGCTGGAAACTGTTTGGAATACTGTGCCATAGTGCTGAGTTTGAGACTTCTGACTTGGTGATGAGCGTATTTCCAGTACGCTAGATTTCAGCAGAGAAGTTGATGTCTTATGATTCAGAGGTCAGCTAAATACAGATTTTATTAAAAATTTAAACACTGAAACAGTGGTTAAAATTGCTTTTCAGAGTCTCGATGTCATGCTGATATGCCTACTTCTGCACCTACTGTTCCACCTACTACTGCCAATGTAACTACTGCATCTGCCACCACTTTATCACCTGCTCCAACCACTCCTCCCAAACCTGTGGAGAATCCAGACACAGGAAACTATTCTCTTAAAAGCGGAAATAAAACTTGTCTTCTGGCTACAGTGGGGCTGCAGCTGAACGTTTCCCAAGACAAGGTGCTTATCTTCTATTTTAGAAGAGTGGAAAGGTTGCTGTAGGTATTTGGTGTGAAATGTGGATGCAGGTATTTGCTTTGTGCACCGCTGGCTGTCCAGAACTGCTTTTAAGTGTTGTACATAGCACCTCTCTGATGTCAGAATAGTTTTGTGGCATATTACCTACCTTCAAAACCTTATGTGGATTTGATGTGACTTGTCGCTGGGGGTACCTCTGACACTGAAAGTCTGGAACTTTCTAAGCTTTTAAGGCTGTTGGTCCCTGCAGATAGTGTTTTTCTCCACAGAGGGAGCCAAAGCTAACCTGTTCTATTAGGTCAAGAAGATAAAAGATTTCATGGGGCGATTTGTTTGCTTCAGTATTACCAGCACGTAAACTCAAGTAGCTTTGGTTCAATAGTAGCCAGGCTCAGTCTTGACTGGTGTCATATTCATGACAAGCTCTTCTAACCTAAGACTGCTGCTGACTGAAACAATGCATGCCTAATGGCAGCTGCATGTCTTTGATGCGGTGTATCTGTGTTTCAGCCTCTTCTGATCAACGTCAATCCAAAGACAACTAGTGCAGATGGTACATGTGGTAACACAACAGCTACTCTGAAACTGAATGATAGAAATACCACGTTCATTGGGTTCACGTTTGTTGTTGTAAGTAACTTCTTTTAATTTAAACCAAGCTTCCACTTTAGCAGCACGGCATGATGATGGCTCATAGCGAAAGCCTTCTGTCACTGGCGGGTGGTCGGCTGTTCCAACATAGGAGGTGGAACTGGCTCTAGGTGACTGCCTCGAGATGAGTGGAGAATTGGGTTAAAGTCATAGAAAATGTAAGACTGTGGTAAATGTGTCAGCCTTTTGTAAAGCATGTGTTATTGAAGTTAAAAATGCAGAATTGCATACTGACAGTTGGTTCTTGCTTCTTAAACAGAAAAATGAAAGTGCAAGTGCACAAAAATTTTATCTGAAAGAGGTGAATGTTACCCTGCTCAACCGCCTCAATGGTTCTGGTAAGAAATAGTATCTGCCTTAAAGCAAGTGTAAGCTTTTATTCAATGTCTGTATTTAACAAATACTTCTGACTTTGTCAGTGCTGTTCATGCTTACTGTTACTTCCTAATTTAAGTCTTTAAGTTGATAGGAACAAAAGTATTAAGCAGAAACAGCTCTGAGTTACTTTGAACAACAATATGGGATCATTCTCTTTTCTTGAAATCTCTGCTAATGAAGTCTCTTACTTTGTAATAAATGTATATAAGAAGGCTTCTTTGTAACTGTTTTCAGTAACATAATTTTTTGAGGTGTGAAATACAGTTACACCAACCCTGAAGCTTTTTGTTTTTCTTAAACCAGCTGTTGTCTTTGACTGAAGATGCTACTGTCTTCTAACAGCTTCTACTTAACTCTCACTGAGAAAAGAGAACAGTCATTCAAAAACCAAAGCATACTTTTTTCCAAATCAAAATATGTTTGCTTTATTTTGTTTTTTAAAGTTTGTGACAGCTACTGCAGTTAAAGGGGCACTACAGCTAAATTGCTTGCAGCTCTGCAATGTTGGGATGAGTGGAGGAACAAGGAAAGCCTAATGCCATGTCCATATGGAGGAGAGGTTACTTCCAAGTACTGTAATAACTTCAGTGCCTGACTTTTGGTTAAGCAGATCAATCACACTTCAGACTGTCTTATTTTTCAGAGTAGTCAATGTTGAAAAGTTGGCCACTCTAGGTTCAGCTCCTTATTCTTTTGATTGTATTAACAACTCTCTTGCATTTAAAGTGGGCATGCAAATTTCCTTTTTTTTTTTTTTTCCCCGCTTTATTTAGTAATTTCAAGTGCAGATAACAACAACTTCAGCAAGTGGGATGCTTTCCTTGGTAGTTCTTATATGTGCCGAAAAGAGCAAACTCTTCAGGTTAATGAAGATCTTCAAATACATACTTTTAATCTATGGGTTCAGCCATTCCTTGTGAAGGAAAATAAGTTCTCTACAGGTAAGAGTTCTTTTTTTTTTTTTGTTAATTCTTGCAATGCTTGCAAAATTGTTACTTGCTAAAAAGTGCCAGCATTGGGCACAAGCACTTTTTCTGGTTGAACCTCTTGTTCTGGTTTTTTGGGGGTTTGGTTGTGGGTTTTTTTGAAGATAGGTTCTGAGACTGACATTCAAGTTCAAGGAAAGACTTTTAAGTGAGAACAAATATCGGCTAAGTATGTTGGTTGAGATGGACTTAAGCATTGCCTTGCAGAATAGGTTAGAAGTTATCTGACATCATCTTGACATACAGCTTCTTGTAGCTTGAATATATAAGAAAATGGGACAAAACTTAGCAGAAATAGACGTTGGTAATACTGTTAGGTGTTTCGTTTTTCTTTACCTGTCAGTTTAAGGAATAGGAGTGTTACAGGAAAAAAAGAACTGTCAGAGCTTCTTTCAGAAGCAGTCTTGGAATATCCAGAACTAAAGAAAGATTCTAAAATGTTTGTTTGCTGCATTATCCTGGTCTTGTCCGGGGAAAACTGGAATTGGTTAAATGATCTCCTACTCTTTAGTGTAACCTGCAGCACTTGCAGCACAGTCTTACTAACTAGACTAGTCTGTAGACAAATACATTGGGTGCTGATTTTTTAAACTACTTTTTTTAGGCAGAAGTAAGTTAGTTCCCCAAATGTATGCAGGGTAAACAGTATTTATGATAATACATTCTGAAGAGTTAGGGTCCCATTTAAGTTCAAGTTGAGGCTAGCTTCCTTCTCCTAATTGTTGTTATTTCATCTCTCTAACGTGTCTCCATTCAGGACAGGTTCTTGATACCAAATCATTTATTCTTAATGAGTAAACGCCCCAGACTTGCCTTAAGCTTGAAATGGATAAGCCTGGTTCTGTCCTTAAAGGAGAAGAATGGCTGCTGCCTTGTCTAGTGCAGACCTTGTTCACATGAAAACTCATACACCAGGGGGACTTCCATGAGCTTACTATAGTTTATCAAATGTTCCAAGTGATTACAATGCTTAATATATGCTAGATGTACCCATGAGACCTCTGCAGTTCTTTCTCTCTTAGTTTAAAGATGTAGTAATACTTGATTTTTGAACGCTTTTGTATTAAGGAAAACAGATTTTTATACCACACTTGGCAAGTATTCTGTCTTTATTTATTCCTTGTTGCAACCTTTTTTTTCATCTACAGCCCAGGAGTGTTCGCTGGATGATGACAGCATTCTAATCCCAATTGTAGTTGGTGCTTCACTTGCTGTCTTGATTGCCATTATAGTGGTTGCTTACATAATTGGCAGAAGAAAAAGCTATGCCGGATATCAAACTTTGTGAATCTAAACGTGATTCCTGTTCTGATTTCACTCTAAACAAAGCAAGTGCAAGTTCTGAAGTCCAAAAACGACCCAAACCTTAGGAGTAATTACTAGCCACAGCTAATTGGAGTTGAGAAACAAAGAGAGAATGTTTCTCAGCTGAAGCAGAACTACGGTTTTAGTTTTCCTGCTCTAAGAAGATGACGTGGGTTTCATAGCTGTTTTGAAGATGTCAAATATTGGATGAATTGCTAGGCTAAGGATTTTAACTTGCAAAAACCCTAAAGTGTTTAGGATTTATTTCTGCTTTTTACAAATTGTAGCCTGAAACAAGAACACATTCTAAACTGATGTGTATTGGGCAACTCCCGGAACACCATAGAATTTGTACTTGCTTCTCTCCTCTGTGTTCCTTAGTCATTGTCATAATTGTGGGTTAAGTTGGTAGCATTAGTCACTATGGTGACTCCTATAGTATTTAACAAGGATTGTACCATGCCCAGTAACAACTTCGTTTTTCATAGAATTGAACTTCAGGTTGGTAATTAAGTAATCTTTTGAAGTGGCAGCAGTAACTTACTTAGCTTTGACAGAATTTGTGCAGTTTACTCCTGCTTTGGTGTAGTTTCAGGAATCATTCCTATACCCTGGCTGAACAGATAAAATGGGTAACCTATACTTGCCAAATAGTGGATGTATAGGGAGATGTCAGTGCCGTTTCCAAATTCTCTCAACAACAACAAAATAATTACTGTTAGGCACTGAATTCTTCATCACTTACCATACCTTGGCAGTCATTTAAAATACTCAACTGAGGCAGAGTTCTGCTAAATTAATGCAAGCTTTTTTGCTGGCATCAGTTTAAAGGGAATAACCTTTCTAAATATTCCAGAACTTTAAAGTGCACTTAACTTTATATCATACTCTGCACAGAACTGGTCTGTCTTGTTGCTTTGAATGACCATTGTTTAAAGATGCTTTCATTTAATGAGCCAGTATCTGTTATTGCAGCTTGAGCTGTCTTTAAATCTTCATCTTGAATGGTTCTCTGCCAACCAAAATTCACATTATAACTGCCCGCCATTGGCATTCTGAATGTTTAATGTACTTTGTGTTTGATTGTTTGCTGTGTAGCATTTATTAATGTTAAGAATGCAAAAGCCAAATGAGTCTGAGATGGACCCACAACACCTGTTTTTCCCTTGCTGTATGGAAAGGATAACTAGCTTAAAAATGCAGTGCAACTAGACTGTTCTTAAACTGCAGCTCTGTAGAGACTAACCCTTGCTGCACAGTTTTTCCTCTGGCCTCCTTGTGCTGTAATATATAGTTTTTACTGCATGGGAAAAAAAAAATGTCTTTTAGACTTAAGTAAGTGTGGCTTGTTTGCATATGTCATAACATGAGCTGCCTAAACTAGTTATTTAATGAACGTAACATTGTCTCCCCCATTGGAATGAGTTTAGCCTGCATCAAAGCTGGTTTAGTGTTTTATTAGTGTTTTCTAGGGTTGTAGAGATATCTGTGGCATGTTTGTATACAAATAATAAAATACACTTCTTTCAGTAATTTTTTCTGGTAAAAAACAGTTTACTCGACACAAGCTAGGGAAGCAAGTATGGGTGGATAATGCTTACTGTAGCTTGTAGTCTACAGCCTGAATTTTGCATAAGTTACATTTTAATGACAGTGGGGAACTACTATAAATTTAATCCTGAAACAGGCTGCAAGACTACCATTTTAATTTAAAAAAAAAAAGTGGATCTAATGACTTTCATATTAATATCCTTAAATACAGAAGTTAATATAGATTTTTAGCATTTTGGTGGCTGATGTTCAGTGGCACCAGTTACATGTGCATTTCTGTTAAAGGAGTAGTTACCACACTGTATTCATCTGACCATGCAAATTTTTGACCTGAGCATGGTTTCAAAGTGACAATATAGAAGATTAGTGCAAACTACTCCTAAAATTCAACAGTATCAGAAATATGTTTGCAAAAACCTGCAAGTTAATCTTCCTTTGCAAGTATATTGGCTTAGAGATTAAAGTACACCTAGACTGATGTGCAGATAACCGGTTCAAAAAACATCTAAGTTTCACCTGGCTGCCTGTTTATAAAACCACTAGTTTTCCTGTATGTATTGCTCCATAGGGAACTGTTAACCTGTTCAACATGTGCTCTAAATAATAAAGATCGTTCTATTTCTTAAGGAAACTTGTTCATTTTTTAACTGATTTGAAAACAGACATCTTGTACTGTCTCTTTAAAGAAAATAAACTGAGGTCAAGGTCAGTCAGTCTATATCTGAGATTCTTTTACATAGCTGGTGAAGGTACTCCTTGAAGAGTCCTCTGTTGTCTGTGGCTTAATGCCTTGTTTTGCAGCACATTCTGAAGTGTGCTTGGGTACAACCCACCAGCAGAAGACAGCTCGAACTAATAGAGACACTGTACATCTGGTTCATCATTAGAAATCTGCTTGTAACCTTGTTGTCAGTTGTAGCTCCGTGCAGACAAGATGCTTTTATGATTTGATTTTGCTAGCCATCTTAATTTGGTGTACAGCTGTGAACGCTTGAGTTTCTTCTTGCAGTTGTCCTGGAAAATGAGATTGGTCTCTGCATTCACCAAAAGTGGAAGAGCCTTAGGGAGCCTTCCCCGAATTCATTAGTAGCTTCATCCTCTTAAGGTGGAAGCTGTGTTGATCCTGTCTGTGCTGCTAGTTCTTCTGGTAACAGTACTACTATATACTTTTTTTCTGCATCAAGAGGTGCACTAGTTCTTCCCTTTACCATACTTCTTTCTGCCCCATCTTGTGAACTCTATGGCCATATGACAAGAGGGAAAAGTGCAGTCTGATCCTATATTCTTTCTTCTTGGTTCTAGCCTGCACTAATTCTATAATCATTATGTTAAAGCTTCCTTCTTATCTGCTACACAAAGTCAAAATAATGTTAGCACCTTTCTGAAGTGTAAGCTGAAGTCAACTGAAGCTTTTTTAACATAAAGGAAAATACAAATATTTAACAGACTCTGGTAAAAGAGCTTAACAGTGGGGCTCCTAAGGATGTGAATTTAAACTATAAGGGAAGTGCAGACGTCATATTTCTGACAAATTATCATTACAAATCAGTCTGCAAGAGTCTGTGACAAAACTTGGAACAATCAGGAGTTAGTGCTGTCCTGTAATAAGTGCAAAGACTGTTTGTTGTTTTTTTGGGGTTTTTTTTGTCAAAAGATTATTTTATTTTTTTTAACTGTAATTCTATCTCCAGTATTGTTGTCTCTCCTGGAGACTTGCAGTGAGTATGTAGACACTGGAAGATTGGACTTTGTATTGTATAGTACTGGTAAAGCTACAGTAGTATCTCATGGAATTATGAGTCTGTTAGTTGTGATGTTTGGGAAGGGGAACTGTTGCTGTTGTCTTTTTGGGGAGGGGGAGGAGATCAGGGTTTTGTGGAGGACTGTCTGATGTGCCGTTGGGGAAAGGTGTAACTGTTTTAAATAATGAGAGGAAGATTACAGTGTTAAAGAGAGTCAAGCAAACAGTCTGTTTTTCAAACAGACCTGGTTAAGAAATGATGCAGAATGTATTGTCATGGTTTATGTTTGAACCTAACAACTTGCAGTATGTCCTGGTTCATAATCGATTGATTAATTAATTTCAGTTCTTCTAAAATTACTACACCTTTAATTTCAGAATATTAAAAATATGCAGTGGCATTATGTGAATAAAAATGGTTTTGTTCTGGTATGTGGAAACAGCATTTAACTTGTGTACGCTTGTGGATGTTGAATATTAATGTGTATAATTATCATAGACTGCAGTTTTTGATTACTATTGACTGTGCCTTATATACAGTTTACTAAATATTAAAATTGTTCTATAAGATACCAAGATTTCTGATCTTTTAGCTTAAAAAATGCTGTGCTAGGAGTCCTCAAAAGAAGCTTTTCCAGCCAATGAATGCCTTTTTGTTTGGTTGTTTTTTTTAATTTTTAAACTTACCACAGTGTTCTCTATTGTATAACGTAAACCAATAAAACCACAAACTTTTGGGCTGTCAGTTGCATCTCATGGTTGGCATTAAAAGGGAAGATACCTTTTATACTGGGACTAAAAACATTGGGGGCCAAGATTTTTTATTATTTTGAATGGAGATACATTCAACAAAATTTGTCAAAAAAGCTGCTGCTCCTGGCCTGAGTGTGGAGTCTGCTTGTGGTGGAGAGTTACCAGGTTCTGCATTTGAAGACACTTCTCTGAAGCTTCTAACCATTGTACAGGAACAGTACGTGGACAGATGTGTGCCAACAACAGTGGCAAACTGGAGAGGTAAAGGATGGAATGTTCCTGGTATGAACTTTAAACTCTTTTTTTTCCTCCTGGGAATTCCTTGTAACATTGCCATAGTGTAGTGATTGCAGTGATCTCCTTCCTTTAGAGAAAAGAGAATGGGAATTTCTGTCACTGCCTGCTGGGCACCTTTCATCCTTAGCAAATTCATTCATTTTAGTATTAATGACCCATTATCCAGCATGTAGTAGTTAAATTGTGTATGTTGATCTTCGATGAACAAAGATGACTAAACATCAAATGCAGTTCTCTTTGTAAGATGCTTAAATGCTTTCTCAGTAGTTGGAATATTTTGAAATAGCTCACTGTATAATGTACATATTTCCTTTCTCCTTTTTCTCCCCCCCCCCTTCCAAGTGTTGCTCTGCTTGGCAGGAGGTGCTTTCAGATTCTCCAAGTTTAGTATTTTCAGGTGCTGAACCCTTGTAAGTTATTTTTGTTCCTCCTCGTTGCCAAAGGCTTTGTGTAGCCTTTCATGAAGGGGTAGTGGCAAGTGTGTCCTGGACTGTAGGGGGCTAAATCAAGACAGTAGATTTCCCTTAACTAAGGCTGATTCAGTTAGATGGTCAAATGGTTTGAATATTCACTTAAAACAATAGCTAACTTTTCATAAAGCATTGAATGTGTGTGACACTTTGTTCTAATAGAAACTCAAGCAAAAAGGTTTTAGAAGGAGTTCTGCTTTATTAAAAGCATGGAGGTCAAGCACCCTTAGAGCGCTGAAGCAGCGCACAGACACTGTGCCCTATCTCCCTGGACATCTCATCTTGGCGCTGCCCAGGTGGAGCTCTGCTCTCTTTGCAAACAGGGGAAGAACACCCGGCCCTGCCTCCGTGTCTCGGGTCTGTCACTGGGTTTGAAATCAGTTCCAGTGGTGGTTGCTAGTCCTTGCACCCGTGTTTGTATCAGCAGGGAGTTAATCGCATATTTCACAACCTGTACAATGAAGACCACTGTAGCATTACAGCTCTCTCTTCTTTTTTCTCCTCTGTTGATTTCGGTAATAACTGCATACTTCTCAGCTGAAACTGATAACTCTTTTCTTGTATTTGCATTGAAAATAAATAAAGTTACCCATTCAAAGAGAGAGTCTTTCAGTGTTTTCCATTTGGTGCTTTGAGCATATGTATCTTTGCTGTCTCACAGTTTTCAATAAGTTTCTACTTTGTTACTTGGTTTGCTGTCTATTGCTGCTCTACATGTCTAGAACCTAGAGAAGTGTTGGTGACTTGAAGGTTTGGGAAGTCACTTAGACAGCTGGCACATTACTGCCTTGTCCTTTTTTTTTGTTGCTCTATTGCTGTTAACTCTGAGGTGTGATCAGCCAATGCATGTTCAAACTGCTGCTTTGTTCTCACACTTCTGAGTAGCTGCTCACTAGAGGAAGATTAAATTAAACATACAAATTGGAAGAAGTATGTTACCAATAGAGATGATTTGTGTGCTGATTTTATTTTAGATGTATCTAATACGGTGTAAGTTCTCAAAAATGTGTTTGCTCCTTGCTTTCTTTGGTTTTTAACGCTTGATTTCCTTTACTAATTTATTTTCCCTTGCCTTTTTTGTTTTTCTTCTTTCTGCAGCTGAAGAATGCCTTGCTGATTCTGACCTGAACTTTCTTATTCCCATCGCAGTGGGCATGGCACTCGGCTTCCTTATCATTCTTGTCTTTATATCTTACATCATTGGAAGAAGAAAAAGTCGTACTGGCTATCAGTCTGTATAACCTCTTAACTCCATCTCTGTTGCCACCTTCCCTGCCCTTCTTTTCCAGACTCCCTGATTTGCTCCTTTAAAAAGAAGAAAATCTAATGAATTCATAGTTTCTTTATTTAAGAAAAAAATAAATTAAAAAACACTTCACGGCAGAATAACATGCCATGAGTCTGAAGAGGAGTTGCAGAATTACTTGAAGCTACTGTATGGTTTTGGAGAAAGCGTTCTGAGGACCATAGAATTGAGTAGGGTTGACGTCTGTCCAAGTGAGAAATGTGATTATTTTGAGTGAAGAAGACATCTATGAATCTTTATTTCTGTTGTTTAGCCTTTTTATACAAGGAAATTTCTAGTTGCATCCAGCTTATCTCAGATAATGCTAAAGCTAAAACCATAATTAAAGGTGTGAATGCTATGTTGGAAAGGACTGTATGTGCTATGGGAAAATACCAAGCTCTTAACAGACTTTTATTGGCAACTGGGCATATGGCTGTTGTCTTTTTTCATTAGCAGCTTGTTCTTGTGAATCAGTCTGAATTTCCTATTCCTTCTGAATGTAAAGGTAGTACCTCATCTCACTAATAAAGTAACATAATATGAGAAGAACATCTGATTCTTCTAGTAAATTAATTTGTTTAACATCAGTAGGGAGAAGTTGACTGCTAATGTATGTTATACAGCTTTGCACTGGCATGATGTCTTTAATGTCTTTATTAGATAAGATAAGGCTCAGTCCTGGAGAACTGTCACTACTCAGAAAAGCCAACAGTCTGCTAAAGGAAACGTGTCCTGTGCTATTTTGTTTGATTGTGCTTTCCCTTTTGTTCTGAGCTCAATTGTGAAATGAGGGTGGGAGGATGGAATTTCACTGGCTGCAGTTTGTCTCAGCTTTGATTCTGTGCACATAAAAGAAACTGTGCAGCATTTCAGCAGTGATCCATGTGAGGCTCGGGAGTATTTTGGGAGCTCTCAAAGACTAAGAATGCAGACTGTTCAGATTCCTGCTGTTCCTTTGGGCAGCTTTCGTGGGTTAACAGGAGATCACTGAAAAGCTGTGATCTAGAAATGCAAGTGAAGCTGTAAAAACAATCTGCTTTTAACCTTCTAATTACTGCTTTCTCAAAACAACAGTTGAATAGCGTAAGAGCGCAAAATTTCTATTGTGAGAAAAGGTGATCATAAAGCAGAAACTAATAGATATATGTAGTGAAGAAGGTGACTTCCAAAGGAATGAGAGCATCTGATTTATTTGAAGATGTGTTCTTTGTTATTAATGCCACACTTTTTGCAATTCTATGTTCCATATCTAAACTGTACCAAAATAGAAGCTAGTCGTTTGTGGCTGTGCTCTGCTTCGTTCCCATCAGGTTCATGTTGATAGGATGAAAGAAGCCTCTTGCTCTTTCAGCCTCTTTGGTCCATCTTGGTCAAAGTCTTTTGCAGCTCGTGAACCCTGATCTCCAACTGCAGGACAGCTCAGGAGCTGCCAGGTCTGCAGAGAGCTACTGATGGCACACAAAGTTTCTGTCCTCTGCTAAAGCTACTTTAATATTTAATCTCTTTGTGCATTGAGCCTGTATCTGTGTTGTAGGGAAAGCACCTTCAGTAATTCACATGCCCAAAGGAGGCAGTCAACACTGATGTTTAAGTAACTCACAATAGCTATATATATATTCAGGGAAAGGAGACTTCTAAAGAGTTAGTTTTGATGTTTGAGAAATACCTGTGTGTTCAATTATTCTTGTCCTCGCTGTGACAAAAAAAAAACCAACCAACTTTACCTGAATCTGATAAAACTGATTTTTGTACTGCAAATTGGCTCTTGAGCCAAGTTGGGGTTTTTTTAGGAGTGTAATTTAATGCTGCTGAGTTGGACTGTGTGCTCTGGTTTTGGTTGTCTTGGTCTTTTGTGTTTGTACCTTTGCTCTCGCAATGCTTGATTTCCCTGCCAGAGGGGTAAATGGTGAATTATTTTGAGACTGGCAGTTTCTAAGTAACACCTGCTTGTCAGAGTGTGATGCTTCTCTGCTGCCAGCAGATGGATTCCATCTACGGGTTCATGCTTAGATTGCAGATCAAAGTATTTTGCATCACTTTTGCTAGGTTATTTTATTAAATGTGGCAATTTCCTAGATGCACATATATATTTTATATATACATATGAAGTATTATTTTGGGCTTCAATAAAAGTTGAAAATTGAGAATTGAGCCAGCGTTTTAAGGTTGTTGTAGCATGAAGAGTGGTGTATACAATTCTCAAGATCTTGAAATGACTGTACAAATATGCTGAAAGCAGAATGTGTATGGAAAATAAAGTTAACTAAGGTGTTTATAAAGCTTTGTTTTAGTGTAAGGAGACACGCATGCCATTTCTGAGAGCTTTCCCAGGGGGATTGTCAAGGTGCCTGGATCTGGATGTTGGCGGGAAAACAGAAACTTTAGCTTCTAAGCTGTTCATGCATTTACGTCCCTGTTAGTTGGTCTTTCTTTGTTGATTGGATTGAAGCATGGGTCCAGCTTCTGCAAAAGGATAAGCTGCTTCATTAATCCTTCCAGTAGGCAGGTAGGGAATAAATAAAGTTTTGTTCTGTTGCTGTCCTGTAGGCCCCCTTCAAGCACTGGAAGGGGCTATAATGTCTCCCCAGAGCCTTCTCTTCTCCCGGCTGAACAACCCCTACTCTCTCAGCTTGTCCTTACAGGAAAGGTGCTCTGAGCCCTCTCAGCATCTTTGTGGGTCTCCTCTGGACCCACTGAAACAGGTCCATGTCTTTCCTGTGCTGAGGGCTCCAGAGCTGGATGCAGTACTCCAGGTGGGGTCTCACCAGAGCAGAGTAGAGGGACAGAATCACCTCCCTTGACCTGCTGGCCACGCTGCTTTTGGTGCAGCCCAGGATACAGTTGGCCTTCTGGGCTACAAGCACACATTGCCGGCTCATGTCCAGCTTTTCATCCACCAGTACTCCTAAGTCCTTCTCAGCAGGGCTGCTTTCAACCCTCCAGCCTGTGCTGAAACTGGGGGTTGCCCTGACCCAGGTGCAGGTAGTTCCTCTGCCTCTCCTGCCTGAACAGCCTGTAGCCATCGATAGCAACAAAATTAGTTCCCAAACCACCTCTGGTTCAGGTTTTTAACAGCTCTTAAAAAATAGTTTTGCTAGATAATTGTTTGTCCTACTTAGCATTTAGCAAGTCTTACTGTACTGGGCTTCTGAACGCTGTGGCCCTCGGAAGTTAATCAAAGTTCCAGGGTCACATCATGTGCTGCTTTGAAATCCAGTCCCCGGCTGGCCAGCACGGGCACGTAAAGTCACAAACTGCATCTTTTACACCAGTGTTTTAAGAATGGTTCCATAGAGTTAATTTTACTGTAGTCACTTTATTTTTAATACAAGAAATGACTTCTTAGAGACTTATATAGATCAGGAAACGATGGCAGATTAAGTACCTGGACTAGGATGTAGGACAAACATACCATAATGCTCTTGTTCAGTCAGTAATTTTAGTAAGTGTGCTTTCCAACTAGTACATTATCCTAAGGTGTCCTTCCCTGCCGTGTTCCCACAGCTCGTAACGTGCAGAGCGTGTCTCACCTCTGTCGGACACGAAGGCTGTTCCCTCGCAGGTCGGGCTGCCCACCCAGCAGAGGTTGCAGCACCCTGCTCTGAGCTGGGCAGCTGTGCTTCGTGGGCCTTTGAGGGTGATAAATTCATAACTTCACTAATACCAGCATTGACATTAGGAGAGGGTTCTTCACTGTGAGGGTGGTGGAGCACTGGAACAGGTTGCCCAGGGAGGTGGTTGAGGCCCCTTCCCTGGAGATATTCAAGGAGATGGGGCCCTGGGCAGCCTGGTCTAGTTAGGGGTGTCCCTGCTGACTGTGGGGAGGTCGTACTAGATGACCTTTGGAGGTCCCTTCTGGCCTGGACCATTCTATGATTCTATGATGACCCCTCAACCATGAAACAACTAAGCGTTTCCCTGCGGTTTGCTGCAGCGTGATCGCTGTGACCTCTCCGGAACAGGGAAGAACAGGCAGAAGAGCTGGGGAGGGACTCTTTGCCAGGAAGGGTAATGATAGGACAAGGGGAAACGGTTTTAAATTGGAAGAAAAAAGATTCAGATTAGATCTCAGGAAGAAATTTTTTACTGTGAGGGTGGTGAGACACTGGAACAGGTTGCCCAGGGAAGTTGTGGATGCCCCATCCCTGGAAGTGTCCAAGGCCAGGCTGGATGGGGCTTTGAGCAACCTGCTCTAGCGGGAGGTGTCCCTGCCCATGGCAGGGGGGTTGGAACTAGATGATCTTTGAGGTCCCTTCCAACCCTAACCATTCTATGATTCTAGGCTTGAAATGTTTTGAGGGAGGTCTAACACATTTCACTGGCGTTTCTGTGCCTGAAGAGGGGGAGGAGGAGCCGTCAACCTGCAAAGTGTGACAGGGAGAGAAGAGCTCCGTTCACTTGTCCCAGCCTGATAGACTTGATGAGGATTCTTGGGGCAGAGAGAAGTACTGGAGTGAGGAGGAGGAGGGAGAAATGCATTAATGTTCCCACTTCAGAAGGGAACAGTTGGAAAGGTTCGAGGGCAAATGATTTTCTACGTGGCCTTTGCTCCAACTCCTTGAGTGTGCTGCACAAGCTGTGTAAAATGCAGCAGTCAAGATGCTCCTGGTGCCAAAGATCCTAGGAGGCGTTTTGAGAGCTGCCATTTTTAATTTTTTAACTGTGTCATAGCAGGCATAATCCAGATTTTTTGCTGTTTATTATTTTAACAAGAATAGTGCTAATAAACTACCCTCTTGTTAGCTTTTGCCTGAGAAATGCACATAAAACTATGGTAAAGATTAAAGCCAGGAAAAATGCATTCCACAGGGGCTACTCATAAAAGACCTTGTGAAAACAGTGTTCAGATATCAGAGGTTTTTTAATCAAAACTGAAGTGCTTTTGCAGGTTCTCTGCCCAGGAGATAACTTTTAATTTTTACTAATAATGATTTACATCAGATGATGAAAAATGTGGTTCCAAACTCCATTGCATCTCATTTGTTTCCTAACTATGAACAAAAAAATAAATTAACAAAAATCTCCGTGTACCTGTATTTTTCTAGCAGAAAACATTCTGGCTTTAAAGAGGGAAAGGCCTCTGATTGACTTAACCTAAGAGCCCAGTGTTTGCAGTGGCTACTTTCCAATGTTGAGCGTGAAGATGATTCGGCCCAGGAAGCGATCGCTGTTCAGGTTGTTGATAATACCTTTCCCGTTCAGGCTGCACTGAATATGGACCAAATTACCCTTCTTCACATCTGTAAAGTGCATAGCCACCAGTGGGGACGTGTAGTTGACCTGAAAACAAGGGAGATTTAAGTGTAAATTTAAGAGAGAGCAGAAAAGCAGGCAGCGATTTCGTGTTTGATAAAAATCCTTAGTAATTGGTTTACAGTTCCCAGGCGTCTGAGTGCGTTTGCCTGATGTCCATCCTGGTCCCTCGGGATGCTGAAGCTGAGCCTTTCTGTGCTGGTGCCTCAGAGGGACAGGGTCACAGTGGGACTTTGCGCTGCACCGTGCCTTGGGTTGATTAGTCAGGACAAGTAACACCAGATCATGGGACTCTCAAATATTTTCTGCTGTTCTAAAAACCGGCCTATGGCTTGTAATAAGAAATCCATGGTGTTCCTCAGGTCTGTGTGCTCAAAGGACATGCAGACCTGGCGTCTGGGGCTGTTACTCATCCTCAGCCAGCAGCAATATGACAATAGGAGTCTCATGCCTGCCTCATCTTCCCTTTTGGCTTTTGGTGTGAAGGTACGTTACCTCCTAACACTGTACAGCCCAGCACAGACCAAAGCAGTGGTGGCAACCACATTCAGAAAGAGCCACCGATGTTGGACTGCTCTGTTCAGCGCCACTGAGCCTGAAGTGGTTTTGTCATAGCTTTGAAAGAAGCCCCCTCTTTTTCCTCTTGTGTCACCTAACTCTGACGTCCTGGGAAAATGCTGGTGTTGAGACCTTCTCTGGGAGTTAGCAGAGCCAGTCTTAGTCTCCAGGCGATAAATCTAATCAGTCCCATTGCTGGCAAGGGGCAACCGGAGTCCCCAAGGATTTCCCACAGTTTGTCAGAGACAGAAATAGAGCACTGTAATCCCAGTGCCCATGGCCTCCCTCCTGCCTGCATCTGCCCAAAATAGCCAGAAAGCACATCTGTACCCTGTGCGGCAGCTGCTGCCCTCTCCTTCCCAAGGAGACTTAACAAAGATGCCAGAGCCCTTACTCACGTGAGTCATCTTGCCGTAGTAGGGATAATACATGAGATCAAACGTCCCGTTTCCAGGGTAGAAGTCCACTGACCTGAGATCACTCTCATTGCCTTTCTGGGGTTGGGGAAAAAAAAAAGAAAAAAGGTCCATAGATAGCATGTGGGACACAAAATACAGCTCCCTCTCCCTTCAGAGCAAGGTGAAGGAGCTTTATTTACAGACGTCTCTCGCAAATCCACGTGAGGGCTCGGCTGTCCCTGCCTGCTGGAGGCAGCCTGTTTGCTGGGCCAGCCAGCTGTGGCTACAGCGAGCCAGAGCCCATCAGGGCTATGAAGGCACAGGTGAAGGTGACAGAATTTGCTGCCTGTCAACCCCTCTCTGCCCTTGCCTACTGCTTTATTGCTCTCTAAGGGTATGACCCAGCTGCTGCCCGGGCAGTGGGAGCCCTTCCTTCACACTATTGCTGTTGGTTTGCAGGGTGCTCCCCAGGACTGAGGGTCCTGTGGAGTGGGTGGGGATGGACGTGAGCAGCTCCTGCCTCTTCCTCCCCAGCTCCAGGCTCTTGCTGGCACCCCGGCACCCAGCCTGCCCTCAGGGGCTGAGCTGAGCACTGCTGGTGAGGCTGGCAGGAGCTGGCAGCGCTCAGAGGGTGAGGGACAGGGAGGGGAGAAGAAGACTGGTGGCCTCTGTCATTCTCAGCAGATCAGCCCCTACTTGCACCCAGAGGTATCACCAGCACTGGGTTTGTGAGTGCTTGGGGGGGAAATGAGGAAAGGTATTGTTGGGGTCCATCAGAGGGAGACATTTGGCCTTCTACACCCGTGCTGCTGAGCATGAACGAAAGCAGTACCTGCACTTTGCAGTCCACGCTCACGGGGACCCCAGCTCCAGGGCGGTAGCCTATGATCTGCAATAAAAAGAGACATCCATGCATGTATGAAATGCAGTGCCAAGCATGTGCCGCTTCCCTTCTCCAGGGCTTAAGCTCTTCCACGTGCCAGTGACACTGCTGGGGACAGGAGTTATGTGCCCCTGGAAGCAGTGTCTGCCCCCCCTTGCAGTGCAGCTGGCCCCTGCCCGAGTGCAGGATCAGAGCCTGAGAGGGGAGGGAGAGCAGAGCATCCCGAGAGCCCAGACTCCCTGGAGCAATACAGCCACCTCCCCACACAGCTCACACACACACCACATTGATTTTCCCAGCACCATACGCTGAGCCACTATGCTATTTGAAGATTTCAAATAAACTCAATTCTATGAAAATTCCCATTATAAAGAGGGTGGGGTCTGGGGTGTAGCCCTAAAGCTCGGTTTGTCCCACACAGCCACCTGGCACAAGACCCTCCAAGCACTCAGGCCTCAGCAAATTAAATTGAGCAAGGGTTTTTTTTTGTGTTTCTTTTTATGTTTTCTAGCAGGTATGAGCTAACAGGTTTTGGGATTCTAGTTCCCTTTCTCCATGGGCCTGAGAAATAGATGAGTTTCAGTCCCTGCATGGTCTTACTCTGTCACCCTGGAATGCACTGAAAGAAGGAATTAAGAGAAGGGGCTTTCTCTGTACCCTGTTCATCTTCAGCAGGATGCAGGGCTGGCCTTTAGAGTAGCCAAATGTCGGGTCCTCAATGCCAGAGCAGTTCTGCAGTAGCGAGCGCTTGAACTGGCAGGCCTTCTTCTCCTCGCTTTCATTGCCCCCTTGGATGAAGTACTGTCCTGGGACGCACTCAATATTCTTCTCCTCTTGAACTTTGTCATCATAAGCTGGTGGGGACCAAGAGACTCGTTAATGTTTCTCAAGACGCGCTCAGAGTCAAGGGAATTAGAAACTCCCACTGGGAAAGGCAAGTGTCCCTCCCACAGAAGCTCCCGTGACCACCTTATGAGCCTCCCTTTCTAGAATGGAGGTTTGTGAGATGCCAAGAGCTGGTTTGCACCTCAGGAGGAGACCCCTCCACTGTGTGCATGGACGCAAACAACTTGCTGACATGGCTTCTGGGGTACCTAAGAGCTTACCTGCTAGGAAGTGGTGCATGCTGTCCACATAGGGTTGCCACGTGTTGGGCTGAGAGACATTGAAGGCAATGGTGAACCCGTTCAAGTACGGTCTGATCATTACTCCTGGAGAAGGAAACGGCTCCTTTTAGAGCAGATGTGGGTGGACTGGCCACAGGCTTGGAGTGCATTTTGTGGGGGTTGGTTGTGCTGTGGCTGGGCTTGGGGCTGGCCAGAGGCATGAGAGCAGCAGCACCAGCCCACAGATAAACTCTCTGCTCAACCCCCTGATCCCTCACCTCCATTTCATGCCCAGAGAACACCAAGCATATCAAAATATCCCAGGAAACATGGGAGACCTAGAGGGTCTCAGCAGCACTGTGGGAGGGTGGCAGGCTTGGGGTTGCACAAGGAGGCTGAGGGGTTCCCCATGCTCTGAGTGTGCTCCTGGCAGGGAGCAGGGCAAGGGGCCCTCGTATTCCCCACCGACACGAGAACACAGGGGAAATGCTGCATAGGAAACGGAGCTTTTGAACATTATCTTGCCAGGACACCCCCAATTAATAACACATAAAAGCTACTCTTGATCTGCATGTTATTTTGAAGATATGAGGTATAAAAGGGCAGCAGCTGAAGTGACTGGGCATCACCTTGAAATGCCCGATCTTGCCCGTTTGCCTTAGAATAATTAGCCTAATAATTAGCATAATCAGAATAAAAATTAAAGCTCTCCAGCAGGGCTTTACCCGAGGTCCCAGCCATGCCATTTCGGTAGCTCTTGGCTAGGCGAGTGCCAGCAGAGGTGCCCGGGGCCGGGCTGGCTGGGGTACGTACCTGGTGGAGACACGCGGTCCTGGTAGGTGGGTGTGTAGGGGCTCAGGGTGAGCAGCACCACGTACAGGCAGAAGGCGAACATTCCTGCCAGGAACGTGTAGAAAACAAAGTAGAACAGTAAGATCAAGCCTGCAAAAGAGAGAGGGCATGTTGCTGTGAGTGCAACCAGAGCGTGTCCCACAGACTGTGTCCCACAGGGATGGCACGGCCAGGCTCAGCACGCTGCTCTCCGCAGCTCTGAGTCCATCGTGGTGGTGGGAGCTCGCAGTCCTCCTCCGCACACAGACCCTGGCATTTTTAGGTGTGTTTGCTGCATGGCCCTTCCGAGCTGGGTCAGGAGCAAGTCCATGTGTCCATCTGCCTCAGGTCTCTCCGACAGAAACACCCCAACCTTGGCTCTTGTCCTTCCCACCTGCTCTGGGCATGGTACCACACAAGGGAACCCAGTGGCTTCAGCATGCCCAAATTCCCAATGCGGGGGTGCTGGGGGGCGATGCTCCTGCCCCAATTCCTGTCACCACGCAGCAGGGACCCCAGGGCTGGGACTGAAGCAAATGGCATCGCCCGGGGGCTGCGGCACCGCTGGCTGTTCCATAGCCCTGACGTCCAGGGAATGGGTTTGTTTTTCCTCTGGACTGGGCTGATGGCTGAGGGTGTCTCCAGAGGCCGCAGCCTATGAATAAAACCCAGCGGCTCAAAAAGCAGAGTGAAGCTCTAACCCAAACATTTCCCAGGAGAAACATGCCGGCAGCTCGGAGGGAGCCCTGGGAACGCAGATGTGCACTCCTGCCGTGCTTCTGCTGGGGACGTGGTGCTGGGAACCACTGCAGGGCCATGTCCTGCTGCGGGACAAGCCAGGGCAGATAGGACCATCACCGCTGCTGGTGGCACAGCAGGGACGATGTCCAGCCCTGCCACAATGATGCTGAGACCGTGCCTCTGCAACAGCCTGGCAGGGCTGGAGCTGCCACTGGGGTGCCATGCTGGCACTTGGTGGGACACAGTGCTGCTGCTGTTGCCATTCTTATGTGTCTTGCAACGCAGCAGGAAGCGTTTTCACTGGCAGAGCCCGGGGTGCAGCCCTTCCCAGGGCCTTCAGTGCTGACCTTATGGCCAGCAGCTCCCTGTATTTTGGCAGCCCAAGTCCCCTGAACATCCCCATCCCTGAGGAACACCTTCAGGGCCGGCATGGGGGAGCAGTCCCAGGCTGGGCAAACTCCCTTCTCCTCACCTGTGAGATGAGAGCGGGAAAGTTCAGCTCCATTCACCTCCAAATACTCTCATTTCAAAAGAAAATTTCATTTTCACAGTAGCTTCCGTGCCTCTCTCCTGCAGCTCCTGTACAGGCATGTGAGTGCACACATGTGTGCAGCTGGGGATATGTGTGTCCATAGGGCAGTGGGGCCATATAGGACATCATGATGCTCCCAGGGCACAGGACTCCAGAAACCCAAACCCACGTCCCTGAGGACTGTCACCCCCATACTGCTCCCACACATCCAGCAAAGGAGCAACAAAACCAGGCTGCCTCCATGGCCAGCAAAGGCACGGGGGAGCAAACATGGATTTCAAGGTCTGCCCCAGAGTTGTGCTTGGGGGTTTTCAGGCTCCTGCAGTGCTCATGGGCAGTTTCCTTTGTTTCTTCTGGCTGTCCCCACAGGCTTTGCAGAAGATCCAGAGTGCTCTGGGGGCATGGGCAGGCTACAGGGCTTGAGAGCCTGTTGCCAATGCTGGCTGCCAAGGGCTGCAAATGTCGAGCAGCAGCCCCCGACCAGCTTCACACTGGCATGGATGTGGAGATGAAGCTGGGCTGAGGTTGGGTATTTTCACTCTGCTGTGGGGGCTGTACGCTGCCAGGAGAACAGAGCTGCAAAGGTGGACAGCATCGCATGTACTGAGGCACCTTGGTCTCTGAGCCCCGCATCCATGGGCTGCTCTCAACCACCTGGGCCACCTCCAGGTTCAGTGATAATTTTTGAAGGCCACACGGATATGATCAAACCCCTCACTGGCACATCCCAGCCCACCAGCCCCGACAGCACCTGCGGGCTCTGCTGAGGGCACCATGTCACACGCTGGGAAGCTGTGGGGTGACAGTGACCAGCCCTTCCTGCTCCAGAGCCAGGGCACATGCAGGCAAGGAGGGCTGCTCAGCCCCATGGTATGCAACCTCCCCAAAACACCTGCCCCACAACCCAGGAACTCTTCCCCCACCAACACTGATCCCAAATCCACCTCCCCGTGGGCTCCTGACTTATTCCAGCAGGAGCTGGGTCGCTGGTGGCAGCAGGGGTGTGTGGCTGCGGCAGAATGACCTGCAGCCCCACGCTTGGTCAAGCTCTTAATTTCTTCCCAGTACACAGTCTGGGCAGCTCGAAATCCTTGCTTTTACATTCTCAGTAAATATTCACATCCAAACCAAGGGTAACTTTCCCAAGGTTTTCTGCTTGTCCCCCTCACTGGTTCTTTATTGCCCTGGTTAGAAACGTCTACCCTGAAAATGTGGGGGGGAGGTGGTCAGTTCAAGCTATCAAGGATATTCACAGCAAGTGCATCCATCGTGAAGCAGAAAAGGCAACAATCCCTGAAAGCGTGGCTCAAGCAAGGACCTACCCCAGCTCTTGGCTGTTCTTCCTAGGCATGTTCTCTCCTCTGGGTTCCACAGGAACATCTTCATCTCCGCAGCCAGGTCTGCCCAGGTTTTGCTCCCCATCTCTGCCTTGGTCCTGTCCTCCCCTCTGTCAGGATCCCGGACTTTCTCCTCATGCTTATTTTCCTGGAAGAGTTACAGAACACAACCCCCACATGCAAGCTGAACATCTCATTGGCCAAAAATAAATGCAAAAGGACTTAATAGCTGGAAATGTTTCAAATTTCCATTTTCCCATCATCACTCTTGAGTTAAAGAGAGGCAGTTTTGGCTGTTCTGACTTAGATCCCAGCATCCATTTTTCCATGACATGTACGTCACTGCCGTCACACCGGGTACTGTCTCCTTGTCCTGGCATTTACAGAAACTCATCTTTTTTCCACCTGCATGAACATGACCAAAGAAAACCTGCGAGCTGGGAGGGCCAGGGCTCTTTCCCACGCTTCTGCAACACCTCTGAGCTCAAGTGCACGTTTTCTGTGCTATCACAGATGACAGCAGGCAGGATTATTTTAGAGGTCATCCAATTTGTTTTTCTTGGCACATGAGCAAGTGTTTAGTCTTTGGAGAAATCCCGGTGCTGTTATTTTTTAATTACACTAAGTTCTAGGGAAAAGCATCTCCCCAGGCGGTGAGAGCTTGTGTTTTGCTTCCGCGGTGAAAAATCATTTATCCAGAGCTCAAGAGCACAAACCTCTCTGTAACCCCGCTGATTGCCCAAATCAGACCCGGATAAAGCCCCAGTGAGTGTCTTCTGGGAGCGTGCCTGTGTCAGAGCACTGCTGCCGGCAAAAAGCCTGTGGCCACCCATACAGCAAAGGCAAAGCTTGGCCCAGGTCCTGCACCCTGGGCTGGAGACCTTTCTGAGCCAGTTCCTGCACAGCCACGGCTCTGTACCATGCAGTGCTGATGAAACCAGAGATTTCAGAGTGTGGAAGCAGCAGCCCCAGCACAAGTCACTGGCAGGAACATGGGAGAGGAGGTCCAGGGGCTGCCAGCTGCCAGGACACCTGCAGAGGAGCAAGCAATGGAAGAAGAGGAGGAGGAGGAAGAGTCCTTCCTCCTGCTCTCCTCCATGTTAAATAGAAGAGCTACCAGCAGCTACTCTGGAAACTTATTCTCAGACTGCCAGCGTCACGGGGACAGCTCAGAGGGACTCTGCACCAATGCTCACCGCTGCTTTGGGAAAAACCCTTTGGATTTCATACCAGCTGCAGCTCGGAGGCAGTGATGGGCTGGATGCAGAGCCCTCAACCAAGAAGCTGCTATCCATGCTTTGAGCTGTTGGGGGGACACAAGAATAGCCCCTTATAGGCTCTCACCCAGGAAGCCCCATGGCTCTGCCCTGCAGAAGGCTTTTGCAAGGAGGCAAAATTTTCTGGTGCTTCTGGCTCCTTGCTGAGCATCCGGCACTTGATGAAGGGTCCCATCCTGCCAGCTGGGAGAGACCACAGGGGCTCCATGGCAGCATGGGAAGGCTGGGGGGGTGGAGGTGGGGGTGGGCTCTCCCTGCAGGCAGGGAGGTCTGTGTGGGGCAGCTGGACAGGTTGACCCCACTGCCAGGTCCCTGATGGAGGTCCCTGAGCTAGGGAGCTAGGTTAGGTCTGGATTGCAACACCTCCCAGGTGTTTTAACTTTGCAGTAGGAGCCAGGGTAGGAGCGTGCTGGGGCAGGGAGGGTGCACAACCACAGACACCAAACAGCCCCAGGCTGCTGCTGCCATTGGCAGTCTGGGTGACTGGGTGGCAAAGCAAAGCTGGGGTTCATCCCTGGTGGGATCATGCTGTGCTGACAGTCGTGGGTGTCCTGGAGGAGGCTGGGGGCTTTTCTAGCAGACCAGGTCACCTCTGAATGGCAGGTCTCTCCTGCTGAAAGACAGGTGTGCAGAGGGTGGCCCATGCCCAGGTGTCCTAGCCCTCCTCACTGCCCAGGACCACCACCCAGATTCCCTGGTGCCCTTTCTCCTCTCAGTGCAAAGTCCTTACACTTTGTCTAAGGGACAAAGAAACATCTCCTAAAGCAAAGCAGCTACATTTATCAGCCACAAAGCAGGTCCTTATCAGGAGCCCCCACGTCGCCTCTCAGAGGGTGGCCAGCAGCCCCCAAAAGACTCACCGCCTCCTGGTGGGGGCTCCTGTGCTGGCCCTCTGTGCCCCCGGCGCTGGCATTCCCGTCCATCCCTGGGTGGGAAACATGGAGAAATGTGAGCATTACCAGTGCAGGAGCCCAGGGCTGAGCCCAGCAGCACCAGCCCCATCATGGGTACCATGTTGTCCCAGCCTTTCGGGACCTATGGTCACAGCCCCCTCCCCAGCACAGCTCCCAAGCCCCACAGCACCCCCCAAAAAGGCTGAGCGAGCGCAGCTGCACCAAGACCTTTGCCTGTTTGCGGGGAACCACACTGCTTTCCCTCCCTACCCTGCAGAACTTCGGCGTTCAGGAGAGGGTCAAAAAATAACTTGCTTTTCTAAGAGGGGTGAGATCAATGCAACAGGATCCCATCCCGAGCCCCCTGGCATCTGGTGCCCTTTGCAGCACCCTCGCAGCATCCTACCCCGCGCCCAAGTCCCCACCGAGGCCAGGCAGTGCCCTACATGGGGAAGCTGGGCTCTGTGCCCTGGGGAGAACGTGTAGCTGTTAATAAACATGAGCAAATCGCTCGGGCTTTCGATGGCCGCGTGTGTCTGTCAAGATGTGCTTGTCAGTCACGGCGGGGCCACGGTTAATGCTTGCAAAATCTCTTTTGCAGTGAAGGGGCAGTGCGAGGGGCAGGTCTATATTTATCCCTTTGAATTGAGAACGCAGTGAGGAGCACGCAGCGTTGGCTTCCCCAGCCCCAGTTGTAAGAGCCGGCCACAGCCACCGGGACAAAATCCAGAGGGATACCTTGCTGTGACACCCTGCAGGCTGGGCAGTACCAGGTTTTCCCCCACTGCTGAATTACAGGCACTGCTGAATTAGGGGCACAGGGGGTGCACGCTGGAGTCCTGCTGCTGTGAGGGGCTGCTGCGGTGGGGTTGCTAGGGAGCAGCGGGGGGACAGGACACCGGAACCCTGCCTCCGGCTGCACGTGCAGCAGGGCCGGGAACGGCTCCAGCAGCGCGATGGCAGCCTGCGAGGGCTGCCCGTCCCTGGCTGTGCCCCATGCAGCTCTCGAGGAACAGTGGGGCTTGTTTTACACCGTCTGTCCCAGCAGGAGCTCGGCACCATCCACCAGCTCATTCCCTCGGCACATTTCCAACGGGGCCAGCAACCCTTCCCTTCGCGGGAGAGCCGGGCCCCGTTCAATGATGGGGACGGGCTGCCTTGACCCTGGCTGGGGCTGTGCCCAGAGGCATAGGGACATACATCCTGGGCTCCCGCAGGGCTGCACCACGCCATCCAAGCAGGCAAAGCACCATTTCTCCCTTTCTTCTCCTAAACGTGGCAGAAAGCCGCTCACCGGCTGTGCTAATAAATGGGCGCAGCAGGAAAGAAAGAGGCCTGGCAGCTGCCCCGGTCTGTGCTGGGTTGGCCAGGGCTGCCACACGCCTGCTGCCGGGTAGGCAGGCAGGGCTGGCTCGGTACCGGTGCCCAGTGACAGCCAGGCCTGCCGGCGGGAGGGCACGCAGGCAGCCGTGCTCACAGCTGGCTCTCCCCAGCCCAAACGGGGCCTGGGGGCCACAGGGCTGCCTGCCCAAAGCTCCAGAGCTGGGATGGGGCACAGGGATTTAACTCAGCCTGGACACTTGTGGGGTCCCAGCAGCCCCCCAGGGCACACAGACCCTGTCACAGAGGTTGTACTGCCACACAGCCCGGCCCTGGCGCGGAGTGGAGGAGGGACCCGAGACCCATCCCCTCCATCAGTGTCATGGAACAGGGGTGACCGAACAGGAGGGGGCCAGTGCCAGCCCCCCTGCGTGGTGGGGTTTGAGCACAGGGATCCCCCAGTTCATCTGAGGTAAACAACTGCTGTTTTCTCTGGAGGTGATATGTTCTTTGCCATTAATTGATCTGGGCATTTGTACCTTGCACCACTGTCACCGTGCGCTTTCTCTTTTCTCCTGGGAGAAGCTGGTAATTAGGCTCTTCTCCAAGAAAAGTGTGTGGGGTTTTGAAGCAGAGATAGGATTAGTTTCTTTTAACTTGATGGAATATGCTTTGGCTTGAAATAATTTCATGATTTGCACTTAGCACCCCTCAGCCCAGGGCATTAAAGTGATTTACAAGCAATTATGAAGCCTGCTGGGAAGATGCTTTTATCCCCAATTTACAGATACTGTATGGAAAACAGGGGTTGAGAGCTAGCCCTGACTCCTTGGACAAGACACGAGGAGCTTGCAGGATCTCCTGGGAGTGCTGCCTCCATGGGACAGGGCACAGGCAGCAATGGGCATCTCAGGGCACCGAGAAGTGAAAAAACTGGGCCAGTGGCCATGGTGGGGTGGCTGCTTGGGTGGGCCACCAGCACTGCTCTGGGGCTTGGCACCACCGGGAGGAGGGAGACGGGGAGGACGGGGGGCACAGAGAGGTTCCAGGGAGGTGTTTGGCAAAGGACAGAATGGCCTGGAAGCTGCTGGGATGCAAAGGGACTGGGGAAAAGACGGGGAGACTCCGCGCCGGGAGCCCCCCGGAGATGGGGCAGGACATCTATACCTCCCCCCCCAAAAAAAAACCCAAAACCCGTGCGGGGCACAATCTCTCCGCTGGAACGGTACCAGCTCCGTGTGCGGACCCAGAACTCCTCACGCCTGCAGGGGGTGAGCGGTAATTTCGGAAGGAACGGCACACACACCCCCCGCCCTTCCCGCTGGGACCCGCAGGCCCCGCCGCGG